CCTTCCTTTCTCTCTCTAAAATCAATAAATTAAAAAAATTTAAAAACAAGAGAAAAACAGTTAGTTGCCTACAAGGGAGCTCCTATATGACTGCCAATTAATTTCTCAACAGAAACTTTGCAGGCCAGAAGGAAATGACAAATATTCAAAGTGATAAAAAGCAAGGACCTAAAACCAGAAAAGCTATCATTCAGAACTGAAGGACATAAAAACAGCTTTCCAGACGAGAAAAAGTTGGAGGAGCTCATCATTACCAAATCAGTATTACAAGAAATGTTAAAGGGACTTCTTTAAGAGGAAGAAAAAGTTAAAAATTTCAAAAATATAAATAATAAAATGGCAGTAACTACATACCTATCAACACTCCCTTTAATGTAAATGAATTAAATGCTCCAATCAGAAGACATAGGTTGGTTGCCCAGACTGGTGTGGCTCAGTTGGCTGGAGCATCATTTTATAGACTGAAAGGTCACAGGTTTGGTTCCTAGTCAGGGCACATACCCAGGTGGATCCCTGGTCAGGAAGTGTACAAGAAGGCAACCAGTTGATATCTATCTATTTATATCTCTCTCTCTCTCTCTCTCACTCTTCCCCTGAAAGCAATGAAATAACATGTCTTGGGGTGAGGATAAATTTAAAAAAAAAAAAAGACAGAGTAGTTGAAAGGATAAGAAAATAAGACTCATACATACGCTGCCTACAAAAGACCCAATTCAGATTGAAAGACACACACAGGCTGAAAGTAAAGGGATGGAAAAAAGATATATGCAAATAGAAATGAAAAAAAGTTGGGGTAGCAATACTTATATCAGACAAAATAGACTTTAAAACAAAGGCTATAACAGGAGACGAAGAAGGACCGAGCAATTTCACTTCTGGGTATTTATCTGAAAAAACCCAAACCACTAATTGGAAAAGATATATGCATCCCTGTGTTCACTGCAGTATTACTTATAGTAGCAGAGATATGGAAACAACTTAAGTGTTCATTGACAGACAAATGGATAAAGAAGAGGTGTACACAGAGTGAGGCGAAAGTTGGTTTACAGCTATGAGTACACAAATCACAGAGTATGTTCTTGCATTATTACTAAGTATTGTATTACTTTCATACTAACAACTGTAAACCTACTTTTGCCCTACTCTGTATAAACAAGGGAATATTACTCAGCCATAAGGAAGAATGAAATCTTGCCATTTGTGACAACATAGATGGACCTAGAGGATACTATGCTAAGTAAAGAGAAAGACAAATGATTCCACTTGTATGGTGGAATCTAAAAAAGAAAATAAATGAACAAACAAAACAGAAGGAAATTCATAGATACAGAGAACATTTTGATGGTTGCCAGATGGGAATGGGGTTGGAGGGATGGGTGAAAAAGGGGAAGTGATTCAGATGCACACGTTGCCAGTTATTACGAACAGTCACAGGGAGTAAAGTACAGCTAGGGAATATAATCGATAATACTGTAATAAATACATATGATGTCAGATGGGTACTACGCTTACGGGAGTGATCACTTCATAAGTTATGTAAATGTCTCATGACTATGTTATACACATGAAATATAATATTGTATGTCAACCATAATTTAAAAATAAAGAATTATTTTTTAAAAGATTTTTTAGAAAAAGACATTTCTTCTCCAGGTATTTACTTGGAATCCTAGAATGAAATGAGTGGTAGCTACCCCTAAGCATTCAATCTTGACATTTCCATTAAATTTTCCTTTTGAAAACACTGAACTCAAAACCAGAGATACTTCAAACTGGCATCTCCAAATGTCCCCCTTCCTCGGTACAGCTGCCCCAGACACACAGAAAGGTTCAATGGATTCCCCTTCTAATTTCCTGTTTGTTAGTAGCAAATTTCCTAATTCAGAAATCAAAATCTTCTTCATCTTGGCATTCTCCTCTCTCATGCCTTCTATACTCCAATCTGTTATAAGGACTGGTGATTTTTCCTTTGCAATTTCTTTCCCATCTCTTTCTCTTTTTCCCCTCTAGATTTGGGGGGACTTTCTCTTTAGTCCCCCCGGAATCTAGATTCCAGCCTTGACTACTTCAGACTTGGACTGTTCAAGTCTCTTAATTGGTCTTTCAATCATCAATGTCTCTATTCCCAAATCCATATACTACTATCTTCCTAAAATGCTATTTTCATCATTTTCCCACTAACTTGTAACCCACATCATGTCAGGGATTCATTCATCTTTAAACACTGTACAACCTGGCATATGTGTGTACTTAATCAATGTGTGTGGAATGAATTAATGGATACATAAATTACATCATTCTCCTTCTTACAACTTATATCAATTCCCCACTGTCCTCAACAAAAGCTACAAACTCAAATATCTAAATACTTACTGGGGCAAGGCAGGAAATGTTGAGTTAAAGGTGTGTGTGAAACAACAGGAAGTGCTGGGGACTGAGGCAAACTGGAGAGCACATGCCCCATCTAAAGAGCAGCTGCTTCGCCCTGGCTGGCGTAGCTCAGTGGACTGAGCGCGGGCCTGCGAACCATGCGAGCGCGGTTTGATTCCCAGTCAGGGCACATGCCTGGGTTGCAGGCCAGTTCCCAGGAGGGGACACATGAGAGGCAACCATACATTGATGTTTCTCTCCTTCTCTTTCTCCTTCCCTTCCTCTCTCTCTGAAAATAAATAAAATATTTTTTAAAAAATTTAAAAAAAAAAGAGCAGCTGCTTCTTATCACCACAAATTGCTGCCATGATTAAATATAGGCTCGGTATTGCCAAGTCTTCTTTTTCCACATAAATAGAAAACACAGATTTCTATATAGAATCTGGCTTTTAAATAGTAACAGTCGCATTTAGTTGTTGAAAACCACTAACTCCATTTAGGTAAAAAAACAAAAACAAAAACACCCCCCCCCCCCCCCCCCCCCAAAAAAAAGACTGTGCAGGCTAAAGAAAACACATCTACGGGCCAAAACCAGCCCCTCAGGTTACAAGTTGGTGTCTAGGATAAACAAGAAACACTTCTGGCCTCACTTACTAAGTCCTTCACTGTGAATTTGGAAGCTACCTTACCAAGTTTTTTTGCCCACTACTTCCATATAAGAACCCTCTGCTCTTGATACAGCTGTTCTCAAACTTTAGCCATACATCACAGCCACCTGAAGGGCTTGTTAAAACAGATTGCTGGGTCTCACTGCCAGCACTGACAATCCAGTAAGTCTCAAGTGGGGCCTGAAAATTTGCACTTCTAACAAGCTCCCAAGTGATGCTGGTGCTACTGGTGTGGACCACACTTTGGTAACGACTGCTTCAGTTAAATTGCTCCTAGACTCAAGCACACACTGAATTTTGCTCACATTGTTCTACCTTCCCAGAAAGCCTTCCCTCTTCCTTTCAGCCCATGCCCTCCTGTAAACTTTGCCTCCAAATTCCTGTATCACTTAGTATCCATGCATCTCTCCTTTATCATTGCATAGTGTCTTTTATTACTGTTTGTGTGTAAGTGCCAATGGGTTGTATATTCTCTGAGACCAATGTCCAGGTCAGCATCTTATACACCTCCCTATAAGCCTCATAAAAAAGCAGGGTCCTGTCTTGTCCCCACTGTACTCCTCAAGCTATTAAGAGAGCCTGGTATACAGTTAGTATACTGTACATATACGAAACGCTTCTTAAATGAATGAACTTCAGACAGATCTATGAAATGAAAGTGCAGATAAGTGGGCCTGAATTTGGGTACACACTTTTTCTTAAAAGGACTGACTTTTAGTCCTGTGTAATGGCTTGGTCAGGATAGACAACTAATGAAAATTGGGTATTTTGCAAATAAATTGCCAAGAAAGTTATCTGTACCAATGAATTATGCATATAAATAAAAGTGTTTAAAAATTAATTTAAAAACTGATAAGAATAAGTCCTTGACCTCCAGGATTTATTTTTTTTATTTAATTCATTTATTTATATTTTTTTAGTGAGAGGAAGGGAGGGAGAAAGAGGGAAACATCGATGTACCTCTCACAGTACCCTAAATGGGACTGTTACTATTTAAAAGCCACTGGGGACCTGTGGCCTGCAATCTAGGCATGTGCCCTGACTGGGAATCAAACCTGCGACCCTTCCTCCAGGATTTCTTATACTGGCAAGAATGTAACCTGGTTACAAGATAATTCTATTTCACAGATTCTGTATTTGTACCATATGCAATAAAAAAGTAGAATGAAATTAATTTCCCATGATATTCAGAATTTTTTTAAATCAATGTATGGGTGCTTCTGGTGCATCCCCTGCTGGGAACTGGCCTGCAACCCAGGCATGTGCCCTGATGGGGAATCGAACTGCGATCTTTTGGTTCACAGGCCCGTGCTCAATCCACTGAGGATATTCAGAAATACTGATCAGTCCCTTCAAATATATTTTGGATAATAATATATTTACCCAGGATTCCAAAGGCTGTGTGAAAACAAAATCAAAAGCTGTTCACCTAGTTTCTTTCAGTAGTTTCAAAATTCACAGTGAAGGACTTAGAATGTTAGGCCAGTTTATCTTTTATCCTTCAGAGCAGAGTCAACCAAATTGTAACCTGAGGGCTGGATTTGGCCCAAAGTGGTTTTGGGGGGTTTCTTTTTTACCTAAATCACTGGTATAAAGTGATTTCTACTCATAAAGATGATTTATGAGTAGAAATTTGTTCTCCAAACTAAACCAGAAAAAAAAAGCCACAGAAGACTTTATAGAATAAACCCAATTTTGGAACTACTAGAAGAAAAAATGGAAAACAATGCCTATTTTGGTAAATAGGCCTAAGTTCTTATTTAGCTTTAGAACAACTCCACCACACCTGACAGTATTACAATCAATGGAATAAGAGAAAAGTTATCATTTGGCAGACAGAGAATCCAATTCAGAAAACAAAACAAACGCCAGGTGCACATGAAGTATATTTATACTTTTAAGCTATAAGATATGTTAAGCTACAAGTATGTTACCTTACATCTGGATACTTGCCCTACCTACCAGGCCCATAATGATCTTGTCCACAGGAGGATTCAGCCAAGGCACTCCACATTTCTATGTTGACCGGGAACTCTTCAAACTGGGCAAAAAAAGGAATTACATAGAGAAGTCAACAAAACACTAAGTGGCTTATTTCAAGTTTTAAAATCATTAGCATTCTAATGAAACAGAGCACATTTATTCAGCAAAATAATCCTGAAACTTCATGGTAAAACTATCTACCAGAAGTTTTACAGAAGGAAATGCTACCTGATGAATTGCTAAACTGCAACTTCCGGCTCTACTACTTGCAGCATCAGACCTACATTAACTAAGGGTAACAGAACAACAACATCCAGTTCTTTCGCAGAGAATGTGGAGACTCAGGAGTCTAGATTCTAGAACCACCTCTATGACACTATATATCTGAGCATTTTTCTTAGCTATATTTAGATCTCAACAGTTCTGACTACAAAACCAAACTCACAGTCAGTAAAAATGCTGTATAATAACTATAAAGTATATACTATAAACAAGTAAAAGGTACTATGTTCCTATTAAAAAACGATGTTACAAACTTTCTTGTTTATAAACGAATCTGTAAACTTATGTATAAACAACAAAATTCTTGGACTGAATTTCATATTATACTCTTACCAACTTTTAGAATGTATTCCAAATATAGTCCATGACAGAAGATGCCCTACCCTCTCTTTCCTGCAAGTTCATCAATAGAATACACTTTCAGAACCTTAGACATACAAAACTAATGTTAACTTTATAGATTTCATATCAGAGGAAACCCCTTCAATGTACGGTGATTCTACCATGGGCCCACTGGAGTGTGATATACAAAAGAGGGGGAAACGCACCAGAAATAGAGCAAGCCAGATGATATTTTCCGAGCTCATTAATAAACCAGCATGTTCCCTTTAACCACAGAATTCAGAAACGGAAACTGCACAAGTGAATAAAAGGGTCAAGGGCCTCTGGGAGGGGCGTAGGCATTAAGTTTTCCCCCCGGGAAATGGAAAGGGAAGATAGAGAATGAAGATTCTGAAGAAATTTTAAAATTCAGTTTGAAATGGAGGACGTCGCACAGCTGAATCACGCGATTCCTGACTCCAGTCCTGGCACCCAGAATTCCCTATCTGCCTCAAAGACTCACTCACTCTCACTGAATGAAGGCACAGTCATACAACTCCTCCTCCGAAAACGGAGAACAATACTTTCGAGTACTCCTTTTCGCAGGTGTGCTCAGGGGAAGGAAATTAAAAAAGACAAGAGCCTTCCACTCTTTACAGAAAAAGGGGCTGTGGACGCAAGAAATACTATTAGCCAATGGGCATCCTGGCCGGTCGGGGTGCGGGGGTGGGGGAGAGCGGGCAGCCTTGGCCACAAAGGGCAAACTAGGGCCGGACCCCAGGACCCCCGTCCCCCCAGGTGGCAGCACTTGTTTCCTCGCCCGGCTCCCGGGCGCCCGCGCTTGGTGCCCCGTGGAGACCGCCAGCCTCACCCCAACCACCGCCTCACCCCAACCACCGCCTCACCCAAAAATGTGTGACCCAGAAAGTCCGATACACGCGCCAGCCCTTACAGAATTAGCAAGACTGAAGAAGGAAACCAAACGAGTCAGGGCAGGTTCAGGATAAGCTAAAGCGGAGCAGGGGCGTCAGCCGGACGATAGCCAGGCGGCCACGGCCACGCAGGCTAGAGAGTGAGGAAAGGGGAGGATGCGCCGGACACCCGCTGAGCGCTACAAAACTGGAGGGGCGGGCGGACGGGTAAGGTAGCAAGACTCCTAAGGCGAGGGCGCCTGGACCTCGCGCCTCCAGAGGCACGGGACCCGCAGACGTCGCGCCGACGCCCGGGGCCAGACCGCTCAGGCTTCCCCGCCCGGCTCCCGTGCTAGATCTAGGGTATTTACCCTAGCAGCAGGCTCACTCACCGCGCGCGCCGCCCCGGCGCAGCCCCCCTCCACCCTCGGAACGATCTCCGCCCCGCCCTCTGCGTCCGCCCGCGGACCAAGCCCCAAGGAGGCGGTGTGGCGACGTCACGGCGCATGCGCTCTGTGGGCGCTCGCAGCCCCGGTCTGAACGTTATGCGCCGGGCGTGCCGGTTTCCTTAGAGACAGAATCAGACCGGAGAGGGGGCGGAAAAATCAAGGAGACAGCGGGTCTCTTGGAGAAACCAAGATGCCGTCGAAGGGAAAGGACAAAAGTAAAGGCAAAAGCAAAGAAAAAGACAAGAAGTAAGGAGAAGGCTTCCTCCTTCGGGCCTACTGTCCCGGGATTCGGGTCTAGGAGCCGCCTGAGGCAGGAGTTGGCTAACTGGATCTCTCCCGCCGGCCCCCCTGGACCTTCCTCTAGTTCTCCCCGATTCTGAGGACAGTTTACATTGTTCAGAAATTCCCCAAGTGCATGCTAACCTCGACTGCTTCAGTGTAGGCAATAGGGTGAGATTTGGGACCCTGAAATAATTTAGACTCAGCCCTATGTGTAATGCATTAATGATGGAGGCAGGTAAGTTCCTGAAAAGTAACACAGAACCGAATGAAATAGGTACTAGAGGAGGAATAAAGAACTGAGAATGAGGAAGAGTTCTGACACTAGCAATGAAGGTAGGGACAACATGTATTGGGATATAGGAGGTCCTCTAGATTAGCGTTAATAGGATAGTCACCAGCCATGCGTGGCAAAATTAAAAGTAAATAAAATTAAACATTCAGATCCTTGATCATCCTGGCGTATTTCATACGCTCAGTAGGCACATGTGGCTAGTGGTGACTATATTGGACAGCCCAGACAAAGAGAACATTTCCTTCATTATGGAATGTTGTATTGGACAGGGGTGCTCTAGACCAGTGGTGATTCTGCCTCCCTGGGGACATTTGGCAATACCTTGAGACATTTTTGGTTGTCACATCTGGGGATGTGTACTATCTGCCTCTAGTGAGCAGAGACCAAGAATGCTGTTTGACATCCTGCAACGCACAGGACAACCCCCTCATCCCCCACCCCAAGGAATCATTTAGCTCAGAATGTCGGCAGCACCATGGTTGGGAAACCCTGTCTTCGAAATGAATGTTAGGGAGGCCAACATGGTGTCCCATAATGATGACATCCTGGAACAGATGAAGTATCTGACTATCATTATCCCTAAGATGAAGACAGAAGTTTTAAACATTTATTCAGTAATTCAGTGTAAACCAATCCCCCCTTTTTTTAATATCTTGAAAGCAGTTTTTTGTTGTTTTTTTTTTACTTTAATGAATGATTATGCCTGGAACCGCACTTGCCTTAATAGTAATCATTTTTACGTGGGATTGATTTTCTCTTTCAGAGAGCAACCATTAGTTTCTTATCCCTAGCCTAAGATTTAAAAAAAATAGTCAAGCATTATATACAAATACAGAAGGGCCTACTTCAAGTAACATGAAAAATGTAACCCCAAATGATGTATGCACACTGACAGTACATCAGTACACTGCATACAAGATGATACTGGAGACTTTACACACAGATGATAATACAAAACAGTGGTTTCCAAGAAACTTGCTTAATCTGACCTTTAGGGAGCCTTTAAAAACTTTATTTTTAACAAGGGTCCCAACGATTCTAGGTTTTGATTAAAAGTGTGATTTGGGGGGCACTTAACCTCCATTGTGCCAGATGACATATACAATAAAGTTAAATTACAAATCATGTAATTGAACAAAAAAATTTATTTATTGGGTTCATTCTTTCTTGATCCTAGTCTGAGAGAACCGTACTATGAGGTTGAGATGACCTTGAACCTATAAAGTGTCTCTGGATGACCGAAGTAGCTCCTTGGGTCTTTTAGGGATTTTTTTGGCTTAAAAGAAAGAGTAAATGATTGGACCAAATTGGGTACTTCCAGATTTTTCCGAAGTGATCAGAACCAGCTCCAACACTAGTTCCTTCCAGTCTTGAAGTTGCCACTAGATTGCTACTAACCTATTGGGTGACCCTGGTAGTTCCTAAACACATTGGAGGCATGTGTGCTGCCCAACAATACTATATATGGGACCACAAGGGAATCCCCCAAACTTGTAAAGTTTATGATGTAACTTGTTTAAGAGAGTAATACTTGCTCAGTACAGAAGGTTTAGGAAACATGTAAAGTCAAAGGAGAAAATAAAAATCACCTGCAATCCCATCATCTAAAAATAACCACTACTATAATTTGGGGATATTCTTTATGTCTTTATAAAATGATAATCCATCCAATGCCCATATTTATTTGTAGCTTCCCCCATGTATTAATATAAGTGTTCTGCTACAGTGTGATTTTTAAAATATAACTACATAGTCTAGCACTTTTTAAAAGCGTCAACGGCTTATCACATTCCTGGGACTCACTAGCATATTTTCTATTTTTGATCATGCATCTACAGTATACGTAGCCTGCCTTGTTTCTACAGTCAGTATTAGTGGTCCTCCTATGAGAAATCCTATCTGATTTCTTTCAAGTTTGAGGAACTTAGATTTGCCCCTTTAGGGGGCAGTTGGATGACTGTAACAAGGCAAGCTGTCACCGCTACCTAAATCCTGCTGGAAAGGGATGTCAACAGCTATAACAGGCTGGGGGCAGGGGAAGGAGCTGACCATAATTCACAGAGAGCAGAAGGTAAGAGTGGGACTGAAAGGGAATAAAGGACCAAGAGTTGGTGGGGTTGGAGGGTGATAGTATAGAAACGTCCATATATACTTATGTATGAAAATATTTAGAAATCAAATACAGGTGAATTCTTCTTAGTTATTATCTAAATATATACCCAGTGCCTACCATTTTTAAGGCATAGTGTTTTGTTAATGCTCATGCAGTAAATCTTTATTTTTTAAAAAAACTCCCCTTTTACCACTTTAATCTTTAAAGGCATTCTTTATTATTACTTTTAAATCTCCTCTCCTTAGCTACATAAATGATTATGGTCTGTTTCTTAGCTATCCTCAAAGCCTGGTGCATTGTGGCACCAGAAGAGAAAATATTTAACATATTTGCCCTAGTGACTTGATCTTTTGTCCAAGGCCTAGCTAAAAAAAAAAAAAAAAACAACCTTAAAAACTAAAACAAAAACAAAATTGGGGCTGGGATGAGTGGAAGATTGCAGAAATATGACCTTAAAGTTACATTTACACTACCAGTGTATCATCATGGTGAAGAGGAACTAAGGTCATAGATTAGCGGTAGAGAGAGCCAAGGTCTAAAATTGAGCAAGTAGGAATAGAAAAGACAGTTCAAATATGAGACAATCAAAGAAATAAGTAAAAAGATCTTAAAGCTTTATGAAATGAATTTTACTTATTAGGCCTTTTTGTTTTTCCAATCCTTTAGAGTTATGCTCCAAAGCTCTACTCTTCCAGGAAGTGGCACTTACTAAGATAACTCCCTTATCAAGTAAATATGTATTTCTTATTTACTAATTCATCCAATAATATTTGCTTATATGTGCCAGACAATACCAAGCAACACAATAATAGAGAGCTATAATACTACTGTAGTAGAGAATAGTTACATGCTATCAATGTCCTCTTTCCATGTAGGAAGACAGTAAAAGCCGAAGAATCTGCAGTGGAGAGAGCCAAGGCCAATGCGTCCCTTTGGGAGGCCAGGCTGGAACTTACAGAGCTCTGTAGGACTGAGTATCGTGATGCTTCCTGGAGACTTGCAAAAACTAATGATGACTTAAGGAAACAGCAGTATAAAATGGAGAAAGACACCATGTCTGTATTAAGCTATCTGAAGAAGCAGGATCAGGAGAAAGATAACTTGGTAGGTAGATAAAAACCTTCCTGAGCCTCAGTAACTACCTCTGTGCTATACTTGCTTGGTTCTCTATTTAAAGGATTTTGATTTCTTGAAATCATATCACATAATTAAGACATTTCAGTTGACTTTAACTCTCCTTGAAGCAGGATGTTATTTCTGAATGGCTTCACTCTCATAACTGGATCTTTCTTATTTTCAGTTCTTGTCCTGTGTTTTCTTGTCTGAACAAATTGACCATCCTAACGGAACATTATGACCCATTTTATTGTAAGGACAACTGCATGGAATATGAGCTATATGTTTTTGATATTTATGAATACTTAGTTTTAATTATTTATAAAGCTAATCACTGATAATTGATGAACACATGATGAACCAAGCAAGTTGAATCTTGAATTCATTTTACATACTTAATTTATGTGTTGAAAAGCTGCCATTTTAGATCTGGAAGAAAAAGGGATAAACTAACATTTGGGAGCCCTTACTTTGTGCCAGGCGCTGCTGTGCTAGGCGCTTTACCTCTGTTGTCTCACCTAGTCCTTTTATTAGCCCCATGTAACTACAATATTGTCATTCCCATTTCACAGAAGAAGAAATTGACTTTCAGGACTGATAACTTGCTCAAAATCACACAGCTAGTGGGTGTTAAAAAGGTATTTAGGTGGAACTCTTCTCTTTTCCATCTGTCTCTATGAGAACCATGGAAACCCAAGGAAATTTCTACCCTGCTGAGGATGGCATGTATCATTCCCATATAGATTCTTATACTTTCACTATTCATGTATTGTGCATCCACAAACAATATATATTATAGTCTTGTTTTAAAATTTACATTAGTAATATTATACTGTACATATCTTTTGCAACTTGTTTTTTTTAATTCAACATCAGGTTTTGGAGTCTAGTCACAAAAAATCACATGATGATTCAGTTAATTAAAAAAAATTAATGAACATGCTTTATTTTTAGATTTGTACTTAACAGCTTCAAAAATTCTGTTAAATAAATAACCCAAATTTTATTTAACCATACCCCTTTGTGGGTTGGTTAGACTCATTTTTTCATTATTACAATGAACATTCATGTGTATGTCTTCATGTGCC